AACACCAATCAAAAGGGCGACTTTGAAAAACAGAAGTTCGTTGAACACTGGTACTTCGGTCTGGGATTCGAATCCTGGCGAATGGGCTGACTGCATGGGTGTTTTCATCTTTTTCCCATGTGTAACGTGTATACGAGCCAGATTTTCCCTTAAAACGTCCTCCAGGAAGGCATTCCTCCCCTTACGCAGATACTTTTTGAGCGCTTTATCATAATTAAATAAACCAAATCAACCAAAAAATGAGAGACATCGACCAGTACTTTTTGTTCCAATTACTAATATACTCAGTTTCCTTTAGAAACATTCTTATCTAAGCTGCGTTTCCTAAGTGATAATCCCACAACAGTTTAGCGGCAGTCATGATAAAATACCTACCTAACAACAACTAGAATAAACTTTCATCTTAAACCGACTACTGGTCACTTCCAGGAAACGTTGCTACGAAATGACTCATTACGTGTTAAGAACAAGAAATAATTCAACTTTTTTCATTTAACAGAATAAAAAAATTGAATATTTACTAAAAATAAATATACTTAAATGGGAAAGCTGAATTCAAGGCCATCATTTATGGTCCGAAATGATTTATCCTTCTATGAAGAAGGTCATCTTAGAAGGATGAGATTTGATACCAAAGTTTCAAACCTATATTGGTCACTTATAGAGGTGTTCGTCTTAGGAAGCTGCTTCACTGTATGTTAAAAAAATACAATTAGTAATTACAAAATTTTCGAATAAAATTTATCCACAAAATTAAATAATGCTTTTAAAGTGCTTATAAGAAAAGTCTAAATGTAAAGTTAAATATACAAAAATTCTCTTCAAATCGGCCGCTCCACTAAATCTTTTTAAAATTGGTTTAAATATTTCCACTATATCTTTTTAAAATTGGTTTAAATATTTCCACTATATCTTTTTAAAATTGGTTTAAATAGTTCCACTATATCTTTTTAAAATTGGTTTAAATAGTTCTACTATATCTTTTTAAAATTGGTTTAAATAGTTCTACTTTATCTTTTTAAAATTGGTTTAAATAGTTCTATTATATTTTTTTAATTGATTTAAATATTTCCACTATATCTTTTTTAAATTGGTTTAAATAGTTCTACTTTATCTTTTTAAAATTGGTTTAAATGGTTCTATTATATTTTTTTAAGGCAAACAATTTGGTTGCATGAGATTTTCGTGATTTTTCTGATGTATAACGTGAATATGTACCAATTCCTGAGAAAGTACTCTACAAAGGCAACTCTCCTCTTAAGCTGATAGCCATAGGGGCGCTTTGGCATAATCCAACAAATCCAAATCCCATATCAACATATTATGTTTCGTCATAACTAACAAAACAACATCCAAATAATTGATTGCACGCTATACATGAAAATTTTAACTTTAAGAATAAGTGAAAAATTTATTTATGTAACCAGAGCGCCATGTAAACTTTACATTTAACCAAGCAAATAAGAAAGAATTATAATTATAAGAAAAACACTACATGGAAGAATTACATGTCAAAAGTAATAAAGGTAACATAAAGCAATTACTATTGGATAAGAAGAAAAGTTATGTCCATGCAAAAATCTGTCGAATCTCTTTTACTAACGGTTCGGATGTTAGATGTTTCAATTTTTTTTTTACTGTTGTCATTTACCGTTAGGTTATAGACTTCCCCTCGGGCTCTGATGACGTCTCGAAGAGTCCGCAAGATATTTCACATTCATCTCTATGAAGCGAAAACCGGCAATCTTTTGATGACGAGTTTGAAATGATTGATTTAACTGCACAGAATCAGTATAATTATCCAAAACATCAATGAATCGGGATGATTCATTTATCATGGAATCAGGCTTATTCCACTCAAACTTCACAGAATCGTTATGATTCATTTAACATGGAATCAGGATGATTCCCTAAAACTTCACTGAATCGGGATGATCCATTTAACTTGGAATCGGGATGATTCCCTAAAACTTCACTGAATCGGGATGATTCATTTAATATAGAATCAGTTCTTGAAAAGTTAATTATATGGGGTTGGATCTCCCCCTGGTTTGAAGCGACTCTCGAATTCTAATAGCCAAATCACAATATCAGATCCACCCTACTATAAAAGGAACTTTGAAAGTAAAAATTTTTGAAAATATCAGAATAGTTCGAAGGCAACTTTGACAGCACCTGTGGAATTACTATTTGTTTATCTTCATTACTTTTGCTAGACATTACTTTTGCTTTACATCTGGTTATAAACTGGCAGCCCAACAGTGGGCCCGAAACCTCAAAAATTTTAAACTTATTACCGAAAGCGGAGCGCAATTTTTTTCTTCGAGCTCTTCCTGCGTTAAAAGAAGAATATTACCACCCTGGTGATATGGAAAATTTTGATTTTTGACGATCTGGAAATTAACAGCCATCCTAGCTGTGAAAGGATTAATCCAATAACTCCAAATCTCATGTCCTTGCGTTTATTGTGAAGCAATCATGCAGTAAGTAGGGATTGTATTTAATACAAAATTAAATTGATTATGATAGTTTAACATAGAGCAAAAGCATGTTTAATTTTGTAAATAAAAAGTAATAATATTCGAGAATCAAAAAGAAATGAATCAACAGAAGGAAATGATTGAAAATATGTCATTAAAAGTCAAAGCTTGAACGGATGAACCAAAGAATAAATGTGGAAATTCTTCAGATCCTAAATTCAATCTTATTAGTCACAGTTATCATTGGTTAGAGAAGAAACCTAAAACTCTATTTTAAAAACCCGCGAAGAAATGGAGCAACTCATTAGAGGCTTGGAAGAAGAAAACTAAGACCTTGATGATGAAGTGGAGGAAACGGTTTAAAAACTGAAAGGCTCTTGTTCTACAACAGATGATTGTTCTAGTGAACTTTTTAATATTCTCATAGAATTAGAACAATTTAAGAAACAAAATTCAAATTTAGAAAAGGAAAATAAATGGATCCAAAATGTGTTGCATTAAGAGCAGTCGTCTAGCAAAATTAACAAAAATAAACAAAATAGTAATTCCACATGTGCGGTCAAGTTGCCTTCGAACAATTCTGCAATTTCAAAATTTTTACTTTCAAAGTTCCTTTTATAGTAGGGTGAATCTGATATTGTGATTTTGCTTTTAGAATTCGAGAGTCGCTTCAAAACAGGGGAGATCCAATCCCATAAAATGAACTTTTCAAGAACTGATTCTATGTTAAGTGAATCATTCCAATTCAGTGATGTTTCAGGGAATCATCCCGATTCCATGTTAAATGAATCATCCCGATTCAGTGAAGTTTTAGGGAATCATCCTGATTCCATGTTAAATGAATCATAACGATTCTGTGAAGTTTGAGTGGAATAACCCTGATTCCATGTTAAATGAATCATCCAGATTCATTGATGTTTTGGAGAATCATCCTGATTCCGTCCAATTTTAGACGAATCATCCCGATTCATTGAAGTTTTGGAGAATCATCCTGATTCTGTGCAGTTAAATCAATCATTTCAAACTCGTCATCAAAAGATTCCAGGTTTACTCTTCAGATGAATGTGAAATATATTGCGGACTCTTCGTCGGGACGTCATCAGAGCCCGAGGGGGAGTCTATAACCTAACGCTAAATGGCAACAGTAAAAAAAATTGAAACATCTAACATCTGAACCGTTAGTTAAAGAGATTCGACAGATTTTTGCATGGACATAACTTGTCCTCTTATCCAAGAGTAATTGCTTTATGTTACCTTTATTACTTTTGACATGTAATTCTTCCAATTACACCTCGAAGGCACGCTGTAAAGGAGGCAACTCTTTACACATATTTGTACAAATTTCTGAAAGATTTCATTATTTTAAATTTAATGTTACCGATTTTTGGATAATGTAGATCAGACTAACTAGAGGTACTATATTTGACGGTACTTTTCCGTTTTGCCGGCGCAGGCGATAAGTCCCCAATAATGGTACAACTGATGCCAAACGGAATATCTTCGCTGGTAACCTTTTGCGCTTCATTTTCAAAACAAGTCGCAGGGATTTCTAATCAGATTGATTGTTTCTTTCAATACTGGCATCCAGTTAATTACATAGAATTTTTACCAGATAGTTCAGTTTTATGCCATAAGGCCATTCGCGGTAATTACGTCAATTAGAACGCAATCATACCGCTCACCCGAAGGCGAAAATATAGAAAAGTCAAGGGTTAAATTAATCAATTCTAATGAGAATGCGCTAGCGAAGTAAAGCACTGCGGTTTTACATAACTTCTGACTGAGTAAGCTAATCGTACGAATGGAAATAGTTCTTGCATTTAAGCTTGTATTACAAATTAAGATTTAATTTGAAATTAACACAGATAATTACTAAGAGAATTAGATTTTTGCAGAGTAGTTTACGTGAGATGAGATCACTTGGGGTCACGTGATATGACCGGCAAATCAGGATGTTGAACCATGAAAGCATAGTAAACTCTTAAATTAATGTCTTTTTACAAATTTATTGTCTTTCCTTATTGGCTTTTTACAAAATTTTAAACGATATTAAAATGTTTATGCCTTCAAAATAAAAAATTCTTAGATTTAACATTTGTTAACATTTTTTATGCGTTTACTCTGTGTTGTCGCCAATAAAATCTGCTTGGCGATATTTTCGCCGGCGAAACGGAAAAGTACCTATTTGACAGTAGAGAAACTGAGCTACATTTAGAACAATACCGCAAGCGAAAATTCTATTGCAGAAAGTTGCAATGGAGAAATTCTACTTTAATAATAAAAAATAAGCATTGTGTGATAAGTCAATTATATATGTGAATTGAAGCCAGCACATAAAATTAAAAAAATAAGTGAATAAGAACAAAATCATAAAAAACTTTGAGAATAAAAAGAAATAGTCTTAAGAATAAAAATCTTTGAACTAATGCAAAGGACCTGTTTTCTTAATGATATCATGAAAATAATCTGATTAATATATGGTACGATACTCTTGCCATTTAATAACAGTATCATACTCACCATTTGTAATTTTATAATATATTTCCGCTCAGGTCTTATAACAATATTCGGAATAAATGGTTCAAACGGGGAACCAACTCCAAGGATTGCACCCGGTTCTATTCTCCAGTTAGCTGTATTATTTATGTCGAAAAGCAGTTTTAAGTGAAAAAGAGGTAACTGTTTTCCCTTAACTCTCTTTTCGGCATCTGCAAATTAAAACATACATTTTTGTCGGGATGAACTACAATATTGACATGAATGAAGTTCTGCAAGATTTAAGATCGTTTTTTAATAAGTTCATTTCAGAGAAACATGTATGTTAGCATATACATATTATTAATACTGTACTCGTATTAAGTACTCTATACTCGTATTAAGTACTCGTATTAAGTACAGAGGATGGACAAAAATATGGAAATACCTTGTGAAATGCATGTTTGAAAAGAAAGATTGATTTTAATGAAATATGTAGGTGGCGCTGGCGTTTTTGACTACTGACGCCACCTATACAACTTCGTAAATGTGCTAAAGAGTTCAGTTGTTGTCGGAGTACTGTTATGTGAGGTTGTCATTGCATTATGTCAGAGTTAACAGACTTCAAACGTGGGCAAATTGTTGGAGCACGTATGGTAGGTGCTTCCGTAAGCAAGGTAGCCGAGGTGTTTAGTGTTTCAAGAGGTACTGTATCGAAGATTTATTCCGCATATTTGAAAAGCGGAAAAACATCATCTGCTAAATCACAGCGCGGACGAAAGTGTGTCCTGAGTGATCGTGACAGACGATCATTAAGGGCAATTGTGACGAAAAATAAGAAGACCACAGCTGCAAAAGTTACTGCTGAAATGAATGTTGTGTTACCGAACCCTGTGAGTACCAAAACAATTAGAAGGGAGCTTCATAAACAGGGAATTGCTGGCCGTGCTGCAATTGAGAAGCCACTCATCAGTGATGCTAATGCCCGTAACAGGAAAAGGTGGTGTTTAAGTCATAAAGCCTGGACTATAGAGCAGTGGAAGCGAGTAATATGGTCTGACGAGTCTTCTTTCACATTGTTTCCCACTTCTGGCCGAGTTTACGTCTGGAGAACGCCATCTCAAGCCTATAATACAGACTGCTTGTTGCCAAGAGTGAAACATGGCGGGGTTCTGTTATGGTTTGGGCAGCCATATCGTGGTTCTCTGCTAGCCCCATGATAACTGTGTCAGGGCACATGACTGCCAAGACTTATGTGAACATTTTGGCCGATCAAGTTCATCCCATGGTACAAACTTTGTTCCCCGATGGTGATGGTGTCTTCCAAGACGACAAAGCCCCTGTTCACACAGCTCACATTGTCCAGGACTGGTTTTCTGAGCACGAGGATGAGTTGTCCCATCTCCCTGGCCACCACAGTCACCAGACCTGAATATTATCGAACCTTTGTGGTCTACATTGGAACGGAAAGTGCGTTCTCGTTATCCACCGCCAACATCGTTATCTGAACTTGCCACCGTTTTGCAGGAAGAATGGTATAATATTCCCTTGGCAAACATACAGGAACTGTATTTATTCATTCCGAGAAGACTGCAAGCTGTTTTGGATGCCAACGGGTTTCCTACACCATATTAAGCAAAGAAACATGTTTTTTAAGGTGTTTCCATATTTTTGTCCAACCCCCTGTATATAATTACATATAAAATAGATGTCTCTATGTATAAACATGAATGTTTCGTTATAATACAAAATTACAGTTTAATTGCGATCTTTATGAATCCTTGCCACACTCGACCTTCAAAACAAGAGGAAGGTCACTGTCTATATAGGATTTCTCAAAAATCCGTCCATGGGGTTCACACTTTTTATATACACATATTCTACGCTAATTTAACGAGCCTTTGAACAAAAATTCAGGGATTTAAAAGCTTTGCTTAGTCACTCTGAAAAACATAAGACCTATATGTTTCAAATTTAATCAGAAAATTCGGTGATATAAAAAAATGTGTTGCCACTCGTAAAAACGCAATTATATTAATTTGTCTGGAATTTAATAAACAAACTCGCCTAAGAGAAATGTATTGCCAGTGCCCAAATTAAAATATTTTAAAATGTGTTATCATTCAACAAAAGGTAAATTATTTAATTTTTCAACCATTCAAATGCTTTTTATTGTATTACGCGAATTTTTTTCGCTTTTTAATGTGAATTTGTATTAGTCGTCACAGAGCATTACTTTCGCTGTGAAATTTATAGCACCACGAGAACGAAAATCGACTGCTTTTGATCTGCACCTCAAGCACGAGAGAAAAATGTACCACGAGCTTCAGAAACAAACGAGGGTGGAAAGGGTCTTTAATATGAATATTTGGTGCGATTTTTAGGATTGTGCTACACTCCAACATATATCGTATTAACAAAAAGAGTGTGGATTAAAGCACATTTCAACAATAAACGAGCAACGGGAAAAAAGACTGGAAACGTTCGAGTGCACACTGCTGACGGCCATTCGTGTGAAACAAACGAGCAAAGGGAAGCAAGACTGGGAAATTTTCGAGCACGCGACTGCTCAGGCCTGTTCGTCTGTTTTAGACGTCTAATCAAAAGCTCCTTTTTTCTATATGCATATCCAATTCAGTTTGGATAGGCATTAATTTCAAAGCAGTTCGTAAACCTTTGCATTACTTGTATTTAATTTTGGTTGTTTTCTCGCCTATTTTATGGCATCTGTATTGTCGATAAGTGCTTATTAAAGAAGACGACGACTGCAAACAAAAAAGGAACTTCACACTCAAAATCAAGGTGATGAAATGGTGGTGAAGAAGCATTATTCTAATTACTTAATATCAGAGTTTTAATATAATGAAGATCATGGTAACCCCAAACTTGAGTGTATTATTTGCAATGAAATGCTAACTGCAAACGAAAGCATGCGAATACGTCGACACGTTGCAACAAAATATTACGATTTAAATAATCAGTTTTTGGAGTTTGTTTCTTGAAAACAAAAAGCTAGACGTGCTCAAAATGCCAAAAAAAATTTGTATTTAACCAAGATCAATGAAAATATTCCTAAATGATTGATTAACTATGGAATAGCGAAAGCTGGTAATTCGCGCACTATTGGCGAATCTTTAGTGCTCCCAGCGACAAAGAATGCAGTTCAAGTTATGCTCGGTGAAAAAAAGCTTAAAGGAAGCCTAAGCAATACCACATTCAAACAAAACTGTAGCTGGTAGAACTGTTGCTGGTCCAAAGAGCTACCGAAAGTAAAATTTTCTCGCTACAACTGTAAGAATTTACTGATGTCCAAGGTTTATTACAGCTGCTTAATTTTATACATTACATGCAAAGAACAAGGAATCAAACGAAGATATGTTATATAGTTCATCAGTACATCGAGGTACGAGCGAAGAAATATTCAAGACTCACAACACATACATAAAATGCAAAGATTTAGATTGGAAAAAATGTGTCGGGATATATACAGATGGTGCACGAGGTAAGTGCACTTAGAAAAAGGCAATGACGTGACGTAAATGCTTCCAGTTAGTTCAAATGCATCATGGAGTCACTGCAACATTCGCAGGGAAGTACTGGTATTGAAATTTGGGCCAAAAGATTAACAAAAAATACTTTAAACATTTCTGGTAATATAGTGAATTTGATAAAATGAAGACCGTTACAAGAGCGCTTTTTTGAAACGATTTACGAAGAGATGGGACTAACGAAAAATTATATCTCCTGCATAAGAAGTATCTTGACTAACAATAGGGAATGTGCTGACTTAGCAGATATGGCAAGTACAGATATTTTTACAGTGCATGTCCAAATTCAGGGATTATCAAAAAGACTACTTTTATAGAAAATCAACACTGAAAACCACAAATATGAGAATTTTGATATTTTTCAAAAGTTTATAATAAAAAATAATGTATATATTTCTGATAGCATAATTACCGACATCTCAAAACATTTAAATGCTTTAAAAGAAAATTTAATCTATTGAAGAAATGAAAAACTGCCAAGAGAAGAGCCGTATTTCGCATCCCTTCCAGGGCGACATTACTACTGGCATATCGTCTACAGCGTCTAAATTTTGCCCGCGCGTCATAGTTTGTAGACTGTAAAACCATTATTATTCTCAGATATTTAACATATAGTAGGGGGACCGGAAACTAATGTTGCTTTCTTACATTAAATTCAAACGAATACATTTTTAACAAGTTTTTATTTTTAATCAATAACATAATCACCCTCGTTATCAACAACCTTTTGCCATCTAATGTGCAGATTTTCAACCCCGGACCGATAAAAATCAATTGGTTTTTGAGTAAAATATCTCTAGAGGACATTTTGGACATCATCCAAATTTTCAAATTTTTGCCACTAAGAAAATGTTGTAAGGATCCGAATAAATGGAAATCCAATGCTGCAATATCGGCCGAGTATGGTGGGTAAGTATGGCTGTACCTCCCACCCCAATTCATTAATTTTTTCCAGTGTTCGTCTTGCACAGTGCGGTCTTGCATTGTCATGTTGCAGAATGACGCCTTTTCTGTTGACAATTGATATTTTTCGTTTAAACATTGGTTCACTCCATCCAATTGTTCACAATAAAGGTCTGCATTAACAGTTTGTCCAGGTTTCAGCAATTCAAAATGAACAATTCCGCGAATACTCCATCAAACACCCAGAAGCGCTTTTTCGGGATGTAAACTCTTTGTAACCCCTATTAAAACTGCCTTTTGAGTTTTGGATTATCATATAGGACTTCTTTTTTTGTCTCCACTAATCAAATGATCAAAAAACATTTCTATATGGTGCCGTTGAAGCAATACGTTGCATGTGATGGATAGGTTGGCTTTGTTCTTTTCGGACAGATTATGCGAACACTTGCTTTGCTTATTTTTCCATTCTGCTTTAAATGTTCTTGGATGGTCGACGAAGGTTTGTTAAGAGTGTTTTGACATGGATTTGCTTCCACTTCTGCCCCTAGCATGTTTGTTGTCGACATCTCAGAAACGACATACTTTCCGGTCCCCTATTACTATAACTGACCAACTGAAGATTCGATGAAATAACCGAATGGATTGCAGCGACAACGCCAAACAGGCGATACGAACACAAAACCGGAGAAACCAATTGTAAACATCTGGAGAAAGATCGCATTCAAGCGAACACGGACAAACAAATGAAGGGGGAGGGAGTACAGCATACTTACCCACCATACTCGGCCGATATCGCAGCATTGGATTCCATTTATCGGATCCTTCCACCTTTCTAGTGGCAAAATTTGAAAATTTGGATGATGTCCAATGTCCTCTAGAGTATTTTACTCAAAAAACCAATTGATTTTTCGTCCGGGGTTGAAAATCTGCACATTAGATGGCAAAAGGTTGTTGATAACGAGGGTGATTATGTTAATGATTAAAAATAAAAACTTGTTAAAAATGTATTCGTTTGAATTTAATGTAAGAAAGCGACATTACTGACATTACGGGCTGACGAGGAGAGAGGAGCTTTTCTCCGGCAGTCCGTGTTACACTTCAGTCTGTGCCTTCACCGGAATGTGTAAATCTCGGCATCCGTGTCTGTTTTCTGTCACATTCCTGATTAAGATCAATTAATGGCACTTGGTCTTTCAGCCATTGTCTTGTTGTGGTGGCTGCTTGTTGTTTTTCCCACTGATCAGGCATCATTCCTTTCGGTTTTACCTCAGGTCAGAAGCCTGGTCAGTGACGTATAACCATAACCCGTGTCTGTATTGGGGCCGCGATCTATCTTTCTTAAGCTATTATAATGTATCCCACTATTTTCCTTATTAAATTTCATTATTAATTGTATATGTCTATCTCAATTAAGATTGCTTTTTTAGTTAATGTTATCAATGCGTAGGCACGTGTTATTCCCGCGTTCCTCAAGCTTTGTGTCTCTCGTTTATAGTTATTAGCATATGAAAGACTCAAGGCAATCAAAATGATGCATATTTCTTTAACCGTGATTAATTAGCCTATTTTTAAACGAATTTTATTGCATTAAAAAAATATTTTACCTAAAGTTTTGGGTTTTGAATATTCTACATAATACTGCTTTTTCTTCACTATTTGTCTACCCGTAATTTTCAAGAAAATAAAGCCTTCATTCCTATTGAATAGCTTTACAAAGTCCAAGAAGAGCTGTATTAAAAATCCAGAAACGCAAAAAAATGTATAGGTCTTAAGTCTAATGTCTAAAAAATGTATAGGTCTTAAATCTTTGTCTAAAAAATGTATAGGTCTTATTTAGTAGGGAAATGAGTAAAGCGTATAGTCTCAAGACTCGTTTCTTGCTCCATTTTTTCCCCTGGAAGTTCATAGTTGATTTTGACTTGCAGCTGCTTGATTGTCTTGATGCAGTCCTAATGATTGTGGGATACTCCCTTGTGGTTCTACCACTGTGGGTAAAACAAGGTATTTCATATTTAAAAACTGGTTATATATGTGTTCCGAATAATATGTGGAGTTCATATTAACATACTTCTCCACTCGAGTTTTCTTTTTAATTTGTTGTCATAAGAAAAACCAGTAACAATCATAAATTCCTTTAAAAACCTTTCTTTAAATTAATTGAATCATGTTTTAAGATTTTTTGCTCTACTTTGATGATAATTAACAGACCCCCTCTTTAATTGCAGTCTTCTAGATGCAACAAAGATGCAGCTATAGTGACAACTGTTTCTCATTTTTGTCTGAGTAAATATTTCTGATAAAAACTTTGCTTCGCGTTCTGCGTTCGGCGATATATTGTGGAGAAAGACGATGCAAATTACGTTTCTCGCCTTTTCAGAATTCAGATTAGTATTAATCCCTTTGTTTACAGCTCACACTGAGCATGACTAATGATTTTGCAAATATCTTTTGATTTCGACGGATTTTCTTTCAGCATAAAAGAACTTATTTTTTGGCAATATTTAAGATCTTACCTTATCAACATTTGTAACATTCCGTTTTTTTTCTTTGGATATGCATTTGGAACAATTCTTCCACTTGAAGTCAATCTTGAACATGTTTTTTCCTTGACAAAATTACCTATCTTACCTTTAGATATTGAAAAACCATGGTTTTCACAGCGTTTCTTTTATAACTAGATGAGAATAACTTTCTTTGGAAAGATAATAAACATAGCCTTCCATCGACTGCTTCTTTAACAGCGCCAGTTTGAATCAGCAGACGATAATTTATACTTAAAAAGCAGACGATATATAAGCAGACGATAATTTATACTTAAAAAATATAGTTGTAGTTAAAAAAAAGTTTTCAAGCGGACGATTATTTTTTAGCGAAGCAAAATCGTCAAAAAATGTGTGAACTGCCTCTGAATGATTTCATGCTAAAGAGTCCATTTATTAAATTAATAAATAAAATACAGAAAATAATTACACGTCACATTTTTTGTATACATGTATTAGCATTTAAATGCATGAATGTATAGAATATCGTAGTTTCTAAGAAATAACACATACTCAGCAGTTATATTCTAATTTTCCATGAAATTAATATTTTCAGACTTTCAAATAAAAACATCAAAAATTTCAGTTGGATATAAGTTCTAAAAACGAAACTATCTTTTAGGCTCTTGAAGCAGAAATTTCGATGAAAGTTATAATGTGTGAGTTTCTATCAAAAGGAGGGAAAACATACCAGTAACATATGGATATTTATCAAGAAGGCAGTAATTCTTTGTATAACAAGGCAGCGCTGAGCCACCCCAAATCAGAAAAAAATACAAATCTTCTGCTGTCTTTCTTGATCTAAAATGAAATAAAGTAAATAAATACATAAATGATAAAATCACTTTACAACACAGCGGTATCCGCCGAAAACATCGCGGCAAAAACATCGATGAAAATGTCAAGGAGAAACCAACGCAAGGCGAAAAGGTCGTGATACAAAACATCGTGAAAGAAAAGAAAGCAAAGAGAAAACATCGCAGTTCCAAAACATAGTGGTACAAAATATCGTAGTTAAAAAGTAAAGCGGTTCAATAACGTCGCAGTATTGAAACGTATATAAATAACGTGGAAAAACGTATATAATAACGTGGAAAAACATATATAAATAACGTGGTAGAAAGCACCGTGGTAAGACCTACCTACAACTCAGCGCATGATGATAACATCGCACAAATGTGTTTTCAGGTTTTAAAAGTTGTAAATGCATGTTCGCGTAATGATTTGGGAGCGCAAGAAGGAAAAAGGGATTCTTTTACTTACATATTTCATATTTTTGAATGAACTAATAAATGTTTGCGGAAAAAATAAGAAAAGCATTTAACAATTAGAAATGAATAGAAAATTAACGCAACTTTTAGAAATTAACAGAATTTCAAATTTACATAGTTAATTAACGAAGGTCAATAATAAATTAACCTTTTTTATGAATTTTATGGATAATTTTTATGAAAAATACAGTCTAAAATGCTTAGAAAAAAGGAAGATAAATAACTGCATAAGGTTACCTCTATAAGAATTGCTTAGTTAATTATCAAATTATTTTCTTCTACATTTGTTAATCTGATATTGTTTTAGTGAAAATTAGATTTTGTTTTGTTTCCGTTTATTCTTAAAGTGTCGTTAACATTTTCATGTATAGCGTGCAATAAATTTTTTAGATGTCCCTTTGTTAGTTAAGATGAAAGTCAGTTATATAACATGTCAGTATGAGATTTGAAAAAGGCATGTGCGCGATGTTATCATCATGCGATGATTTGTAGGTACTTTATTTTTTACCACGATATTTTCAACGGCTTTGTTTTTAAACTGCGAAGTTTTTGAACCGTTTTATTTTAGGCCGCGATATTTTGTACTACGATGTCTTCCGTTGTTTGTTTTCTCCGCGACGTTTTCGTCCACGATGTTTTCGACTGTAACCAACACAACAGGTCTCTAAAATTTAAAGTTTTATTTTCTTAACAGATTTCAACAGTTGCGCCAAATAATGAGCAACATTTATTACTAAGATATCTCAATTTATATCATCCGCTTACAGTCACAACTTTCTGTAGAATTGATAAAGTACTGCATTTTTATTATTCTATACTGTATTTTTAACAAGCTGTACTGTATTATTATCATCCCATAATCTCTCTATAATTATATGTTTGACTTGTCTTCCGGAGTTTATCCTCGCGCTGTATCATGTATTAAGTATAATTATATATAGATGTCTTATGTACGAGTAATAACACATATAATTTCTTAATTACATCGTATTATGTTAAATGTATGGTAACCTGATATTTACACAAATGCAAAAAATCTTTATTGCCAAGGTATACTACAACTGTTTAAACTATATCATGTCATATGTACATCTATTCTTAACTGGCATAATATTTTCAATCTAATTTACTACAAACATATTAGTCTATACGTATGCATTCATCATTAATGTAATCTACTATAAACTACTGTATTTTTATCATCATATACTGTATTTTTATCATCATATACTGTATTTTTATCATACTGTACTGTAATTTCCTATACTGTATTTTTATCATACTGTACTGTAATTTCCTATACTTTATTTTTATCATCCTATAATCTCTTTATAATTATATGTTTGACTTGTCTGAAGACTAGTTTATTCTCGCGCTGTATCATGTATTTTACATCGTATTATGTTAAATGTATCGTAACCTGTTATTTACACAAATGCAATAATTTTTACTGCCAAGTAATACAATGTTTGTTATCAATCATTCGTTTTCATTATGTACTCACGTTTGAATTATTGTTTTTAAGAGCCTCTAGTCATGGGGCGTGGTGCTATACTAATTAACCGTATGGTAGAGGCATAGTGCCCACATCCCCCGTTCCTCATCCTTATCCTTTATTTTGAAGAAGTGAATATCTGCTACTATGCATTCGGAAATTGAACACAAAATAGCAAAAAGAAGAAAAAGGAAATCTGAAAGGATTCAGATGTTTTCTCTGCATAAAAGTTCTGGCTGTTACTTAGATTCGTTTTTGGGGAATGAAAATAGTGTAAAACTGGAGTCCGAACTATTAAAAATCTTAAATGTTTTCTTCAAATTCTTTCATAATAACACTAATTCATATAAGGGAACTGTATCCGGGGAGAAGCATAAAACTGCTTCGTAAGCGGAATGCGGCCCACGGGCCGTTAGTTTGGGATCACTGCTGTGAATCGTCTTAGTAAGAAAACTGAATATACAGTATATAGTACCTTACAGTATAATAGTACTTTATGATATGATGAAATAAAAAGAGACTTAAAATATAGAAAAACGTATGACAACACTTAATAGTGTATTGGGAAATCTGAACATATGTTGCTATGCTACCTTTAAGAAATTTGCGATTTTGCTGCGCAGTTGTATGTGGTTTAACTGCGAAGAAAGCTTTTAGCTTACTAATAAAACTAAAAAGTCGAAATTGTTTTAGCAGGAGTGAATTCAAGAGCAGATTGGTAATGTGCGACAGTTCAGCAAGAGAGTAAGAATCCTTAAAAAACCCTTGTCTGTGCGTCTAAAATTCGCACTCCTCATGTTACAGATCCCTATAAACGAGTTGATCCTATTGCCCTAAGTTTCAATAATCCCTTTCTTGAAGGTGAAAGTGATGATGATGTTTTGCGTGGAAGTTACTTGTTATTGGAAACGGTGCCTGTACTTCTTGTTGCAGCTATTTCCAAGTTGTATAGCGAAGGTGCTCTCTGTTATTGCATATAGCCAAGCTGCTATGGATGTGTTAATATTGAAATCCTGAAATCCGCTGAGTTAAGCTTACTTCCCTGACTATTACATAATCCAAACAAAATTAGCTACCAACTCAGCAGCTGAAGGCCCTTGAAGATATTAATTGCGCTGTGTTTCTTAGCAAGCCGAAGCTCTTACCCATCGTGTATAATACATGCATACTTACTAACACGTAATACAAATATAAAATACAAATCCAAAATTGTGATGCAATTACATAACACAAATACATAGTTTATTCCTAAATAAATGTTAACACATTCTTTAGTAAGTACTAAAACATAACAAAAATGATTACATCTTATGAAACTAATGTATGGTTCCAATACTTGTACTTTATACCTATACACTATACATTTACCTATACTTTGATAGACCAATAACTTGTACCATATTATTACAGAAATTCACTATACAGCAGGTACAAATACAATGTTTTATCAATCTACTTCTTAAGGAATACTTTTGCATTCCTGGGTAAATACTAAAATTTGATCCAAGTACTGACACAATACACACATGCAAATTTACCTTCCAGTATGTAGCACTTTATCCAATCACCTATACTTTACAATATTATTGCACATAATAGGAAAAAAAACCCTTGCAGTACATTATACAGATATGTTATACCAATACATTACACACACAGTAACCAATATTTAATACAATTGCAAGTATAATTACAACTAGTACATATACGCATAAATGACAGAGGTGTATTATTTAATAAATACAGTTAGGATGTTTATTACCCACTTATTGATTAAATACCCATTGTTCGTAAACTTAATATGCTTCAAAAACAATAATCAATCAACAAATGGACTGTATTCCTACACTTTTATTAAATTACACTTGTCAGCGATGCGAAATAATTGATACAAAATAAGCGAGCACATGGCTACATGGCTGTCACAAACACAATCTATCAATCAATTATTTTTGCCACAATAAAGTTCAAAACTAAAGGAAGAAAAACAAAAGGAATTTACGCTGTTTGCAACAATAAAATGAAGCAAACGAACTCACATAAACATCCTGGCCCTCGTTGAAATCCAGGATTTCACAGTTGGAGAATTTTGAAACTCTAGCCTGTAATAAAGATAACATAAAAAAATAATACAAAATATTATGTGCGAAGCCGTTCATAGTTTTTTAGTCTGAATGGAAGAGGCACAATTTCACGACTGTCGTTTAATGACACCAGCCATTTAATACTAGCAACTCGGACTCTTTGATCTGAAGCTCGGATGAACAGCCATTATTCTCCCTAACCTCCATTTAAGAGGCGGAAGGTTGTCTTCTTCGATGAGGACTAAGTCATTGACTTCTAATTTTTTGACAATTTTTGCCATTTAGTCTTGTTGAATCTGAGACAGGATTCTCGCTCCATCTTTTCAGAAGTGTGAAATAAACTGTCTACATGCCATCTGTCATGGATGAAGGAACTATAATTAGGTCTGGTTCGTATGGCAGTTAAAGTTCTTAGGAAATGACCAGGTGTTAATGGCAGTTAAATCATTTGGTCAGCCGAAGTTGGACACAATGGCTAGAGTTGAGACAAGCCTCAACCGCGCTATCAGGTCTGAAATTTCGGATAGGTCAGCACAGTATCACAACAGTCCTTTTAGAGTAATTTCATTGACTTACTGCCGATCCCATATCCACACAAAATGGGGAGATGATGGCGGGTTGAATATCCATTTATTTCCTCTAAAGACAAAAATTTTTGATTTCTTGATTTTGGCTTACATTGCAAAAACATTTTCTTATTTCTTTGTCTGCACCTTAAAAGTTAGTACCGCAGTCACTATAAATTTCAAATAGTTTCCCTCTTCTTGCAATAAATCGTTTCAATGCACTTAAAAAAATGCCTTTGTTGACAAATCTTCTACCACTTGAAGATGTACTGCCTTCATTACAAAACACATAATTAAGCATACTTAGCATTTAAATGATTTTTGTGCACGTCCTGCACGATGTTTAATCATGAACGGTCCACAAAAATTTATTCCAGTTCGATGA